TAAGTATTTCAATGTAGACAGGTGTTAGTATATCAGAGTTGAATACCAACCACAGATGGGTTGGTAATCTTTAAACAAAGCATGCATCAACATGTTAAGCTTGTAGAATTCTGCATAATATTTTGCTTCTCTTTTACTTTATGTTCTCACCTAAATACATTTAAAGATGTTGATCTCATGTATGTTAAGCCCTGGGTCTGTTGGCTAGTGATTAGGATTAAGTATGTTCTTGTTACTTGAAAGATATTCAGTATTTGAAGGTAAAACTTAGCAAGAATCTTCAGCCCAGTAATTACTTGAAAACACCATGATCAAAATCTGTCACATGAGCAAGCACTGATTTATTTAGAGCAGAAAAATTATACTGAAAATGGGTGTACCACATACTATAGACACCATGACAGCCAATGTTTCATCCAACTTCTTTCATGCATGTCTTTGTATTTATTCCTGGAAGGGTTGACTTCCATGTTCTGGTAAGGGGATTACAAAATAGGTTATGGTTAACCAAGTCGAACTAGGCAGTAGTCTTGGTGCAAATACAGTTATCCTTTAACATGAGAATGTTGTTCTTTATGACATCAGCACACAATGCCCAAGGGTTTAGGAGGGTCCTTCTGTATGTTCGTTATCACAATTGATGACTATGAATTCTTGCAATTATTGGCAACAACTGCAGGACCAATTCTGTAATGTTACTAATTTTTCAGGTGCTATTTATGTGTTGTACATTTGATGTTTATCCTCTATTACTCGTTGCTTACCTGTAATATTTTTGGTTGTCATCAGTGTTGGATAATGTCAAGGCCATTCATTGATAATATGCAGTCCTTTTTTAATTGGAAATTGGCTTTGATGATAAAAAAGGCTGTCCAACATTGATGTCAGCCATTAAACACATTCAAGGGTTAATCCTTGTACCTGTGACGGTTGTTCACTGTTGGGAGTGAGTACTTTTTCAGTTTTGATTCAGTTTTGGCTATTGGCTATTTTGAACAAACCACAACATCAATTTATGATAATGCAGCTGTGGGTATGTGATTGGCATAGTGACAGAGCGGTAAATAAATGTGTTGTAATGAAAAAATCAAAAATTTTGAACTTGACAGCATCATCACCATGACAACATGATCCTTGGCTGAGAGGCTGGCAAGCTGTTGGAAACAAATGAGACATTTGTTGAGAAACCTTAGTGTTTACTAAGCTAAGTTCAGTTTGATTTCTCTAGAATGCAAATGTTAAGACAGGGGCACTAGCGAAAAAGATTTTGCAGGTATTGTGAGTGATATTCTTTGTGTATAAAGACACATTATATAAAAGCCCCTTGAATACTAATGAAGAGGACTTTATTGAGTAAAGAGGGCCAAGCTCGTTATGTGTGTGGTCACTAAAACACCATAACAACAATAAGAAATTGCAATGCTTTTACTTTGCAGCTGAATAATTGACATCTGTTATATGTATGGTTTTCAATCATTTTATAAACTTGGGTTTATCCTTCAATATATAGAGTGCAAACAATATAACCGTGAAACTTTAGTAATACTAAATAGCACAATTTCATGCAAATTCCATTGTTTTCTATTGCCAATATTTTGTACTATTTAGTAATTAGTGTTTCACGGATTAAGAGCGACTTTCTGTAAAAATCCACCAAACGGCGGCACAAGTCAAAAAATCGATTTCGCTCATATTTTGTCCATAAGTAGCCTATAGTGTGAAATGAAACGTGCTGTAGTTAGTTTTTTAAAATATTGCTTTGTTTGGCGAGAATTTGAGAAAAACGATTTTGACCGGAAACGGCACTGAAATCGCCTTTCGCAAAGGTCAAAACTATCAGATTCTAATGAGCCTCGCGCTGGAAAACTACGGCTCTGAACCTAGTTGAAACACTATATTTTCTTTTTTAATATATTTCTTCTTAGTTTGGCATTGAAATACTTCCATAATTTTATTTATTTTCGTCTGGAGAAAATTACAAATTTAAGCTATAATCGTAAAATTGCTTGTAAACAAATCATAGGGTCTGAAAATCGCTTACGTTT